AATTTCTCCCCAACGATTGAGAAATTTTACGGAACGGAATGTAGAAATAACTCACTAGCTTCGTAAAAATTGTTGCACGTTCAAGAATTTTTGATTTTGGAGGCATAATAAATCGACAAATTTCTGTAAGATTTTACTTCTTCGGGAAAAATTATGTGACGAGTTCGTACTTTTTCGGTGGTGAACCTGAAAATTCACTGAGCGTTTCAGATTTCTTCTCTTTCATTCCCATAAGAATTGCCGGAAAACGATTTCCCATTGCAGATTACGTGAATTTTTCCGTAATTTGTACTCAATATTTCTCTCCGTATTTCTATAACATTTTACTATTATTATTATCATTATTATTCTTATTATTACAGGTGTATATATACACTACTGTATATCGCCACCGTCCTTCTAACGGCAAATATTATTAAAAACTATCATTATATTTTCCTGAAAAGAATTCTTATTATTTCAAATAATTGATTTTTCAGTTTTATAACTATAACATTTTACTATTATTATTATCATTATTATTCTTATTATTACAGGTGTATATATACACTACTGTATATCGCCACCGTCCTTCTAACGGCAAATATTATTAAAAACTATCATTATATTTTCCTGAAAAGAATTCTTATTATTTCAAATAATTGATTTTTCACTGGTCGGTCTAGCGCACCAGTGGTTGAGATTTTTACCTGGTCAGGCGAAGACTCGAGTAGTAATGTACTCCATGCGCTCGGACATGTGCAACACACTTCCTACTCCTTGAGTTATCCGCGGACTATAAAATAAAGAATAACGAAGGACGTTTTACATAATGGGGGGATTTGTATTATGACAAAAATGAGAGGATTAGAGAACTAAAAAGTATGGGCAACCGGATGTTAGCTCTCATTGTTATACAAGGAGATGAATATGTAGCTGAAATTGCAGCGGTGCGGATGGTGAATGCGTGGCGAAACACGTGTTCGGGCTTTTTAATCCGCGGATGCGTGGAATTTAAGGGACAAAGGATAGATTCTCCTCTTTCATTGCAGAAAATTTATCGCACTGGTGGAGGATTTTCGAGAAAATTCGGGAAATAAGGCGGAGAACAATGGATTTCACGGAATTTTTAGTTCATTTTTGCAGAAGATTTTGTAGTTAAAGGAGCAATATACACATTTCTGACTTTTTGAGACATTGATTACGATAATTTTTCATTCTTGTAAAGTACACGGAGAAAAAATACTAAACGAGTCAAGTAATCATGTGAATTCGATTTTCAGTACTTTTTCATCCTAAACCCAGAAAAATTATTTATTCAAATCAAATAAATAAATTTATTTAAATGACACCAAATAAATTTTTTTTTCAAATTCAATAAACAATTTTATTGAAAGGTTTGTCTATATCAAATAAATGTTTCTTTACTATTAATAAATCTTTATTTGGATCAAATAAATTTTTTGATTCAGAGACCGTGAAGTATTGCTCAATATTGCTTATAATTTTTCTGTAATTGAAAATTTATGGAAAGTTGACTAGTAATTTTCCGGAGAGTGACATTGAATTCGTTTTTACGTGCAAAAAATTGTGAAATTTCACCTCAATTCGAATACGCGAACTGTCACCAAAAACATGAAGATTCAGTACCAAATTACCCTCTATTTTCGTTTAACTGACAATTTAAGGATATATTTACCTGAATCATCCTGATTTTTATCAATTTTTACAAAATAATTCAGCGGAAATCTACAATTTCCATTAATATCTCTTGAAATTTGAAATTTTCAATGACGAAATTCCTTGAAATTTCAGCCAAAAATTTTCCAGTTTTGTAATTCTTCCTCCACCGAGAGAAAAATGAAACAATTAAATCAACTAAAACTATTCATTTCAAATCATTCTATTCATCCCAACAAATGTTAGTCAAGAATTAATGAATTTATATATTTATTTCGATAAAAATCATACAATCACATGAAAGATGTGAAATCTCTCTCAGAATTAAATAACCAACGAATATTCCTTGATTTATAATAAAATGAAATATTTTAAATTTCATTCAAATGATAAAAAGACCACCTGTACTGCCCCATGCATTTAATATTTTTAATCCACCGATTTTTCCCCTGAAACCCTGGGTAATGAGCACGTGAGTGCACACTTCCGCCGATTGAGAAGAAAAAAATCCTTGGCAATTTTTCAAGATCACAATCATTACGTCTTTTCATTCATAAAATCCAACTTCCGTTTTGATAGGATATTATTCTCCTCCCGCGTCATCCTCAACACTTCCGCGACATACTGACCACCTCGGTGTCATCATAGAGCCGGAGCCGAACAATCCCCCCACCCTGGATTGATAAAACGAACATTTCTCGTCTGTATCCCTCATCTGTATTCAATGTCTGCAACAACTCGGCACACGCCAGTGGGACAAGCCGGAGCCCCTCATGCTTATTATTGTTTACGTAATGGTTACGCAACACGTATATAATCCACTCTCCCCCGCGTTTCGCCCCCTTGCACACCCAGACGCGTGCGTTTATGATCACAAGAGTTATTTCGTGTTTTTTTGCAACATTGTCTAGTCTGCGGGCGGTAAAATTCATGAGAGACGTCTCGTTTTTTTTTAATCGATTGCATGACTCTTAGATGATTTATTTTCATTTTTTAGATTTTGCAGAAATGTACAGAGAAAGAATTGTTTTGATTTTCAGGGACATGTTACTGATTTTCAAGAATTCATCGAATGAATGTTTCGAACGGGCGATACTTCCGAGATTTCAGATTTCCCTGAAATTTCACTAAAATTTACAAATTTTAGTCTCAGGAATATTTAAATCTACCAAATTACGTGAATTTTCAATCATAATCTGAATAGTTTAGGCCAAATTACTAAATATTTCAACTAAAATTCACAGTTTCCACACGGAGAGAAATATTGTGTAAAAACTACGGAACAATTCGCGTAATCCGCAATTTTTATAGGAATGGAAGAGGATAAACCTGAAAAATTGTCACGTAATTTTTCTCGAAGAAGTAAAATCTTACAGAAACGTGCCGACTTATTATGCCTCAAAAATCAAAATTTCTTGAACGTTCAATAATTTTTATGAAGCTGATGAGTTATTTCTACGTTACGTTCCGTAAAATTTCTCAATCGTTGGGGAAAAATTACGGAACGACTTGTTGTCCCCACAGCGGTGAGTCATCGGACAGCTGGATAATTTTTACGGAACAAATCGTAGAATTTACGTGGCGATTCGTACAATTTCACATCCAGCGAATACTTTTTATTGAATTTTACTTCGCTGGCGGATTATGTTTCAAAACGTAATTTTTATGTTTTTTTCTGGTAATTTTTATTAAACCTTTCTTTCCGTGCAATAACATTTCCACAAAACTTCAAGTTTCCACTAAAAAAATTGCCTGAAATTTCAGTCCAAAAATATTCAAATGTCTTTAAATACTCATTCTCCATTTTTTAGACAGCAAAAACTCGAAGATATTTCATTCTCCACCTCATTCATTCTCCATAATATTCTACAAAACCTAAAATAAACCGAAAAATCAAACATTTTCTCTACTCAAAAAATATAAAAAATCCCCGGACATCCCCCCGCCCTCGATCCTCCTAACAATCATCCTCCACAGGATGAAACTAACGAGGTCACGGCTGTCTGGGTCTGTTGCCTCTGAATTCCAACAAATACTGTCCTCGAACGGTTCTCCACTGTCTCCATCCTCACCCCTTTATCGTTGCCAAGAAATCTCCAAGCAATTCACGGAATTTTCCAGCTTCATTCGACTCCATATTTATTCCATTAAATTTGGATACCAAATAACCACCTCCTCCCTCCGGTGAGTTACCCCGTTCAATAAACAACCCGAAGTATTTGAATATTTCGTCGAGGTTATTCGCGCAATTTAAAATACACAGTTGGCATCATCCATTGAGGCACGATATTATGTTTCTGAAGGTGAATTAATGGCGACTGGAGCTGTACTGGACTTCTTGGTATTAAGATGAGTTTTGTATTTGCACCGGCTCCTGGAAGCCGTTGCAGAGAGTGGCTCAAGGCAAAAGCGTGATTTAATGCCTCGTCTCAGTCGTTCACTGGGGTAGGGGGGGGGGATTTATTAACGACAGGACGTTCATTCCTAGCAATAAGGCGCCATTTTGCAAACACTCATATAGCTATGGGCACAATGTTATATTGACAGCACCCGCACCGAGTGGAGATGGGAAAATGAGGAGGACGGAGCTCTCGAGCGAGACGCGATAAATCGTTAAGTAGCTTCAAGGCGTTAATATCGATAACGTCTCTGATGCATTCGCTGCATATTAAATTGACATTGCATTCTAATCAGCGCAAACTGCTGTTTAATAAGGTGCTGTTATCTTGGATCGATCGCGTTGACAGAATGCGACGAAAGGGTTTTAATTTTATTGCTGTTACGTGCACGGAGAGAAATTTTTGATAATAATTATGATAGAAATTTTATCCTGACGCATAATAAATTTTTCCCTTCCAGTCCAATAATTTTTATGGAGATAACGATGAAAATTCTAGAACGGTTGGTAAATTTTACCCTATCGGTACAGTAATTTTTACTCTACCGGCACCGTATTTTTTATTTTTATCAGGATAAAATTTCTCTAACGTAGAATAAAATTTGATCGTCTTATATTAATTTTTACTAAATTTCGGGATAGAAATGAGGAAACGATGACTCGTGAGACACTTTTATAGAACGGCAGGATAATTTTTACCAAAAATTTCTCTCCGTGTACCTTCGATGAACTGTCGACCAAAATTGATCGGCAGATTATTTTTATTCATTCCGATATTTCACTGAGTATTTTCTTAACTGCGCTCGGGGCAACTGGGGCATTATCACAAGAGATTTATGGCGAATATTTAGGCGAGAAAAACTCGATTATTTCTCTCAGGAATTGGGGACAAACTACGAAACTTTCGTCAAGTTCGTTATTTAAAGGGGAGTTTTCTTTTCAGGCCGAAGATCTCCTGGACGATATTTTGTCGTTCGAAGCGGGATCGCTGGGAGGTGGGCTGAAGGAGGGCCAAGCGGGGAGTTTATCCAGCCTACCAGATCTTGAAATAAAACCTGAACCCCTCCTGCTCACTGATGCGGAGATTCATGCACTTGCCAAAGATCGTCAGAAGAAAGATAATCATAATATGAGTGAGTTTATAGTTTTATTCATTTGCACAATTAAGTGATGCATTAATGACTGAATTGATTAATTGATGAATTGAACAAAGTGATTGATATTTAATTAATTAATGTTATGCGTGGTTTTATTGAAAACATTACACTGTTGAAAAATAAGGGGGATTTCATGGGTTAGTAGTTATTTTCAGAAGGAACATTCAATTCGATTCGGTGGGAAAAAGTTAATGGTTCGGGTTTCAGGTAAATTCCGGTAGAAGAAATATGGATTTTTTATGAATAAATATGAATTTTTTTCATTTTTCCTATATTTTATTAGATAATTGAACAGAAAGTTACAGTTTTCATTGATTTTCTCATCAATTTCCCAACAATTGAATGAAATATGTGATGGTTTGAAAACGAGAGCTCTTGAAATTTCAATGGAACTGTCAATTTGAAAAATTCTGCTTGAAATGCAAAAAAAAATTCTGTCAAAAACTGACAGATGTTTTCTTTAAATTCTATAAAAATTATGAAAATTTTGAAAACTAAAAAAAATGAAAATTAGAAACTGAAAATGAAAATTTAAAAAAAATTCTATGGGGATACCATTTTTCTCAAAATTTTCAACCAAGAAAAATTGTTGTAACACAACAAAAAATTCCTTCATTTAAGAATGTTTCTCTCTACACTGTTAAAAATAGTTAGCTAAATTCTCTGGTGCACTTTTTGAAAATTTATATAATTTTTTAGTTTCACTGAAATTTCAAGGAATTGCGCAATTGAAATTTCAACATTCTAGAAAAATAAATGGAAGCTGTAGATTTGAGTCTAAATATTCCCTGAAAATTACGAAAAATCGTGAAAATTCAGATCAATATTTTCTTATATTTTTAGAACATTCATGTGTTGAAAATTCGAGTAAGTAGAGGAATTTTCATCTTCTAAAAAACTGCAAAATTCAGAATGTCATGGAATTTTCCGTGAAATTTGAAATTCCGTGATTTTTTTTCTCCTAAATCAACTTCAATGTCATTCTCCTAAAAAATACTACTCAACTGTCCCTGAAATTTCATTTTTTTTCTAACAGCATATGTAAAAAATCATGCAATAAGAGATGAGCCCCAAATTCCGTACAATTTTCCTTGAAACCACCAATTTGTAAACACGACAAAGGACCGTACTCTCGATTTTTCCGAAAAGCCGAGAACGCGCGAAAGCGATAAAGTTGGCAGAATGATAGGGCCGAAACTGGAATGAAGTGGAGCTCTGTGCTATTTCAAATGGAAGAAGAAGAAGTGGAAGGAGGGAGATAACGTTATGGAGGGAAAAGAGTAAAAATCAGACGTTCCGAATGTACGAGGGACAAAATAAAATTGTAATTTTGGCCAGCCATCTGCTCTCTGCTACCGTTTCTCCCTCCTTATTCTCGTTTATTTTATATCTTTTTTGTTTTTCCACTAGCCTGCATTCGCATCTCGGGCCAATCTTCGTGCCGCATTTCCTCCCTTCCGCCTCTTCCTCTGAATATATGAGGCCAACACACATGTGCACTTAAACTCTCGGTCCCCTTGGCCATTTGAGGAACAAACTAGGGGGCCGGCTATTCGTTGGTATTGAGGGTGTTTTTTTTTTGTGAATTCTTAATCTCGCAACGAAGACACTTGGGCGAGTGAAACGATCGCGAGAGACCGCACGTTTTTCACGCGTGACTCTACGATGTACGTGAGCCGATTTTTATCGCCCTATCGGACTCGTTTCGATCCGCCATTTGGTATTCTCTTCTTCGGAATTACGGTTTGCAGACATTTGCGGAGGTCACGCGGTGGAATTTTGGTAATGCAGTGTTGGAAAGTTTTCAAAATTTTCATGACAATACGGTGGTAGTTCACATGAGAGGAACATTGGAGCCGATATAGGGGAACAATGGTTGTGAAATTTCATGAGTTTTCGGTGCGAGCGAGATGGAAATTTCATAACTTGATTGAATTTTGAATGGAAAATTAGTATTCAGAACTAAAATGACATAAATTTTTGATTTTTCCCTGAATTTTTCTGATGTTTACGAATTTTCGGGGAATAATTGACCTGAAAAATCAACGATTTGAGGGATTTTCAGATGATTCGACTGGAAAATCAACGGAATATTTGATTTTTTAATGACTAGATTTCCTGACATTTCAGTGGAAATTAAACATGATAAAAATCTGGGATTTGTGCAAAGGGAATTAAGTAGAATAACAGTTATATGTGAAAGGCTACTCCCTCCATGATGAAGTGCCACAAATGGTTGAATCTATAGTGTGATTCATACAGAACTGTAAAAGATAGTCTTAAATTGACCTCAATGTCACTCTCATGAAAATTACTAGTCGAATATCCATGAAATTTTCATTTTTTTCCAACAGTGGATAATTCTGAAGAATTTCAATCCCAGGCGATTGGTCCTCACTCTATTAAAAAAAATCACACTTTTAGAAAAAGTCAATGGAATTTCAAATTTGTTTGAAAATTCCATTTTTTAGCGGCAGGAACACGAAAATTCCACATTCTACATAAATTTTCAAGTAAAAATCAATATTCATTACCAAATTTCTTTGAATTCTCACAGAATTCCTTTAAAATTCTTGCAATTCCAGGAATATTTGTAGGAATTCTCTGATAATTCAGAGGAATCTGGAATTCAAGAAGAGATTTCCCTGAATTGTCCTGATTTTCCATCAATTTCCCACAATAATTAAACTAAAATTTCACTAAAAAATGTTTAACAGCGTAAAAGATGATACGTTTGCCCCAAGAACTTCATTTCGCGATATTAGATCGTTGTTTTTCTCTCCAGAAAAAAACCAGCAACACTAATTGACTTGCACAGAGCGTGCAGCGAACCCCATACATCCACTAATTCCGGATTTTCAAAGGAGATTGAGTCAAACAAACTCCCGGTATTCTTTTGGCAGATCGAGCTCGTAGATTTCCGTCTCCCTCATTCTGTCTGTTGTCGTCCCTGAGAGTTAACCATCGAAATCTAATCAACAAGATCCGAGTCCCGGGGATTCCCCCAGCACACCCGTCAACTTTCTTGTCCAGTTGTAGCTCCCGAGAAACTTTTCTCCCGTGGAATTTACAGGAATCGTGACAACATCCCACTTCTTTTTTGTTTTAACGTTCTAACTCTTTCTCGACTCTCTCACCCTCCCCGCCCGTTCTCGTTTTTTTTTTCCTGCCTCCCCCTCCCCCTGACTTCCAAGTTCTCCTCCACATCCACTTGCTAATTTTCCTCTGTCGCTCGGGACCAAAGTAAACACCTGTTGTTGACGGTTTTGCCTGTCGGTATGAATGCATTTTAATGGGATTCACTTCTATTGGAATTTTTTTTTCACCTCACGATGTCGATTTAATTATACGCCGGGAATTTCCATTAACATAATACCAGATTGATTCATTTTTTGGATCAACATTATCTTTTGTCCGTATTTATGCCTCAATAAATTTGGTTTGTAGAGATCAAAAAATTATTAATATTATCGCAGAAAAATTTTGATTTACCCCGAACTCCCGGTCTGTGGACCCCACGGAGAGAAATATTCAGTAAAAATTACGGAACATTTCCCGTAATCCGCGATGAGGAATCGTTTTCCGGCAATTTTTATAGGAATGGAAGAGAAGAAATCTGAAACGTTCAGTGAATTTTCAGGTTCATCACCGAACAAAGTACGAAATTGTCACGTAATTTTTCCCGAAGAAGTAACATCTTACAGAAACTTGCCGACTTATTATGCCTCCAAAATCAAAAATTCTTGAACGTTCAACAATTTTTCTGAAGCTAGTGAGTCATTTCTACGTTCCGTTCCGTAAAATTTCTCAATCGTTGGGGAAAAATTACGGAACGACTTGTTGTCCCCACAGCGGGAGTCAGCAGACGGGCGGTTTATTTTTACGGAACAAATCGTAGAATTTACGTAGCGATTCGTACAATTTCAGTTCCGACTCACACTTTTTATTGAATTTAACTTCGCTCGCAGATTACGCTTAGAAACCTAATTTCTACGTTTTTTCTGGTAATTTTTATTGAATTTTTTTCATCGTGTAGCGAGGGGTTCGATGTAAAGGTTAAAATTATGTTGAATTATGAAATGATTATACCACATATCACCTTAAATAAGCACCCTTCATTACTTTAAAATTTTTCAAATTTAAGATTGTCTCATATAAAATAATTTATAATAATTCAAAATGTTAGTGATCGTTAATGGAGTTAATTCAGGGTCGTATGTAGTATAATCATCTCATGATTCTGCATAATTGTGACTGGCCTGGAGCCATATGCCCCTAAAAAAATTGATTCTTCTCTCAAAAAATTAATCCTCTTAAAAACTAATCTATTTCTTTAAAATAAAACTAATTCAGTAGTGAAGTTCTAAAACGGTACAAGTCAATTTTGACTATTGATCAGTTTTCAATGAATATCTCGGAATCTAACGGAGATGGCAAAATTGTTGTTATAACCTTTTTTGTAGAGCCGATTAAGTGCTACAACAAATGTAATTACAAAAATTTCGCTATCTCCCTTAGATTCGGAAATATTCCTCAAAAACTCAACTGGGAGATGAGTCGACATAACCGTTTTATCACTTCGCTACTGAATTGATCTTTTCTCTTTTAATTTTCCCCAACTTTCCTCAATTCCCAATCCCGCATAAACACCGATATATACAGGAAGTAGAATGGTACAGAGTAGTATGTAGAATCGAAGGACGCTATCAGTGACGGGCGAGCAGTGGTGGCCTTATCTCAACCTCGTAATGTTCACAGTTGCGTCGAGTTTACGATTGTGTTATTGGTCGTGTTAATATCAGTGTTAATCGTCCGCTCATTGATCATGCTCCACGAACTACAATAATCGTTAAATCAGGGAATAAACTCCATTCCCAAGAGCCTCGACATGTGCCCAAATAGCCTCGAAGTTGTTACAAACTTGATGGAATTTTTTCACACAATCTTTACGAGTCACTCTGAGATGGAAAAATTATCGCTCCGATCTCCTATCTTTTATCACCTCCACATAATAGCGAAACAATGAAAAAAAAACGTTCACACAGGTGTGTTAATGCATATCGTGTTCATCGAGGAGATATGGAGCAAGACTGTCCATAAATACTAATATATGTTGGTGATAAATTCAACGACCTCAGCTATAATCATTTATATCTTAAAATGATGGATGGACCAATAAATGAGGAATAAGTATAGAGATACACCTGGAAATATGAAAAACAACTATTTCCAAGAAAAAAAAATAAACGGAAAAAATAACGGAAAAAGGCCACTCAAGCTGCAAAAAAGACGATTCATCATAACGAGACAACCGGAGCGTCTAAACAATGAATACTATCGCAGCAAAAAAACCTCTCACTGAAGAAAGAAAAACACGTGGGAATTGTATTCTCGATTTTTTTATGGGGGATATAATTTCAGGCTTTATTATTATTTTATGATCGATGAAGCGTGTGTATTCCATTTTTTCTTAATTATAACTTGGCAATGACTATGATTTGCTGAAATGGATGGATGGTGATGGAAATTCAGTGATTGTAGAAGTATAATTATATATGAATGATTTTGAAAGTTGCGGAGAAAAAATATAAGTAAAAATTTTTTTTTGTTTGCAAAATATATTTGTATGTAGACAAATAATCGCCCCGAAAATCCTTAAAATCTGAGCGAAAAAATCTATTTGGATTTCATTGTCTTTTTCATTGTAAATTGAACTCAATGTCATTTTTACGAGAATTACTATTGCACCATCCCTGAATTTCCAATTGTCCTCATTGCTGTAGTTGAATATAATAAAATTTATATTCCAGCATAAAATTTCCACACAAAACCAAGAATTCTTCGATAAAAATGACCATAACCCCCACCTCCGCTCTCTCTCCGATATTCATAAACATTTCTATCGTCCCCTGCAAATAATCGCTCCGAAAATCTATAACAAACTGAAGGGGAAATTATGTGAGATACACCGCGAGTAGAGTTGAAAAATCGAACTAACTGATTGGATTTACCAAAATTTTCCTAACTTTAGAATTTCATTTAGTTCTCTGCTTAATGTTTCCTCTAAATTATTGGGATTTCCCTGACTACTACCTAAATATTAGAAATAAAACTTCATTAGCTTTTCCATTCCCAATTGAACTTAATATAATTTTTTCAAGAATTACTATTGCACCATCCCTGAAAATCCAATAGTTCTCAATGCAGTATTTCACTACAATAAAATTTATATTCCAGCATAAAATTTCTTCATCCATTATAAAATTTCCACTCAAAACCAAAAATTCCAATATTCATAAACCTCTCTATCATCCCCTGCAAATAATCGCCACGAAAAAACATTTAAAAAATGATGGAAAATTATGTAAATGGCGAGTTGAGTTGAGAACTCGAAAAAGCAATTTGGATTCACCAAAATTTTCCTAACATTTAAATTACATTTAGTTTTCTGTTTTATTTTTCCTCTAAATTGTTTGAATTTCCCTGACTTCTACCTAAATATTAAAAATAAAACTTCATTAGCTTTTCCATTCCCAATTGAACTTAATATAATTTTTTCAAGAATTACTATTGCACCATCCCTGAAAATCCAATAGTTCTCAATGCAGTATTTCACTACAATAAAATTTATATTCCAGCATAAAATTTCTTCATCCATTATAAAATTTCCACTCAAAACCAAAAATTCCAATATTCATAAACCTCTCTATCATCCCCTGCAAATAATCGCCACGAAAAAACATTTAAAAAATGATGGAAAATTATGTAAATGGCGAGTTGAGTTGAGAACTCGAAAAAGCAATTTGGATTCACCAAAATTTTCTTAACATTTAAATTGCACTTAGTTTTCTGTTTTATTTTTCCTCTAAATTGTTTGAATTTCCCAGACTTCTACCTAAATATTAAAAATAAAATTTCATTAGCTTATCATTCCAGTATTTCACTACAATAAAATTTATATTCCCGCATAAAATTTCTCCATCCAGTATAAAATTTCCCCCAAAATCAAAAATTCCACAATAAAAATGACCACAACCCCCATCTCCCCTCCCCCTCCAATATTCATAAACCTCTATCATCCCCTGCAAACAATCGCCCCGAAAATCCATAAAAAATTGAACGGAAAATCTTTTAAGGTTCCATAGCAGCTACATTCCCCTCGATAGTTGTATCGTATACATCGCCAGTTGAGTTGAGAAATCGAAAAAACTCTCGACAGTAGGTATCGACGAGGGCACCTGTCGATCCACGTGAATATGTCCTCACTAGAGAGTATGTGCTGGAGAAAGAGCGTGCACACCAGTGCCGTGAAATCTCACGTTTACGTCGCGTGCTCGTCGACTGATAACGAAGCTATCGTGGCAATACTAGAGAGTATACCAGAAGAGCACGATAGCCCCTCCCTCTCGCCCCGCGCTCAATGTGCTTCAACCCTCTTCGCTGCTCTCCAAACGTATATCCGAATATACGTGAGTCGAATAGACATTCCCAATCCATGTCGGCGCTGTTGAACTCCAAGTGGCAAGTCCGCGATGGAATTTCGAATGGAAAAATAATACAAAAATTGTAGTTTTTCCTTTTTACAGAAAACGTATATTTATGCGTATATCGCTGCCATTTCTTGCTGGGGATTGGGGGCGTGTGCATGACATTCTCAGGGATTGATACAGAGATTTTATTCAGATATACGGAGGGAGAATTACAAATTTTTTGTCGGATTTTTGAGGGGAATCTTATGGGAATAAGTGGCAATGTTGAATATTTGGAGGGGGGTTTTGTTGAAAAATATTGAATTTTAAAATGTTGAAATTTTGTGGATGGTTTAGTAATAATTTTCGGGAGAGGGACATTGAATTCGATTTAAGGGGGAAGAAAAAATCATTAAGTTTCAAATTTCGGTGAAATTTTGGGAATTTTTAAATTGCTTGAATTGGCAATAAAAACAGGATTGTTTAAACCAAATCTATTCGATATCATGGAATAATTGAATTGAAATGTAAAGTTTCCATTAGTTTTATTAGGGAATTGTGAATTTTTTATTCAAAGTCCTTTGAAATTTTAGTCAAAAATGTTTATTAGTGTTGAAACATTCTCTTCTCTCAGAGTGAAATCTTCTCAGAATGAGTGTAAATTTTGCATATTTGCGCATTTGAGAAGTTGAAAATTATGAAATTTTGAAAAATTGAACTTTCATGGACATTTTAGTAGTAATTTTGAGAAGAACGTCATTAATTTTGGAGTGAAAAAAAAGTTTTGATTTAGGAGTGAAAAAAACATGAAATTTCATATTTCCTGAATATTACCGGTTAAATCACCCGGTCGGACAGCGGGACCCGTGAGGCGCGCGTTCGAGTCCGGCTTGGGGCAATTGCGATTTTTAATCTTTCGGAAACCGTCGAACGGAAGTCTAGACACCGAGAATCATCGGAGAAGTGTTAGAAAAACATTCTCCGATGAAGCTCGGTCGATAGACGCCTGTGTCGACCAAGGTTTTCCATGGTTTCCCTTGGTCACCACATGAAGAGAAAGTTTTAATAAAAATTATCCCACCGTTCTATAAGAGTGTATCATGAGTCATCGTTTCCTCATTTCTATCCCGAAATTTAGTAAAAATTAATATATGATGATTAAATTTTATTCTACGTTAGAGAAATTTTATCCTGATAAAAATAAAAATTACCGTCCCAATATAGTAAAAATTACTGTACCGGTAGGGTAAAATTTACCAGCCGTTCTAGAATTTTCGTTGTTATGTACATAAAAATTATTGGACTGGAAGGATAAAATTTGTTATGCGTCAGTACAAAATTTCCCTAACGTGGAATAAAATTTGATCATCATATATTAATTTTTACTAAATTTCGAGATAGAAATGAGGAAACGATGACTCATGATACACTTTTATAGAACGGTAGGATAATTTTTATCAAAAATTTCTCTCCGTGCAGGAGAGTCTGTACGTGGGGTACAGCTCCTGGGGTACAATGGGACACGGTTGGAGAGGAAGTCGGCCCATGAAACCGCAAAACATGTAAAAACCCGAATAGGGTATATATGGCAATAAATAGAAATAGAAATATTTCCTGAATATTTAATGGAGTTCAAATCTTTGAGCACCAGGAAGATGAGCGTTTCCCAACTTAACTTAATTTTTAATCAAAACATGAATATTCGGTGCTAATTTACACTGAATTTCAAGTCAATTAAAAATTCAAGAATATATTCATTACTTTTTTATGGAATTGCAAATTTTCAATGACGAAATTTCTTAAAATTTCCGTGACAGTATTACTTAATAAAAATTTCCAGAAGTGTACAAGAAATTTCAGCCAAAAATTTCTGCCATCTAAAATTTTTACACATTTCCAAAATTCAGGGATTTCTACTGAAAACTCCCTCCTCTTTCTCCCTGCATTAAAGTCTAATATGATGAGAATTCTCAATTATCCCTGGAAAAGATTACATTTTCCCGCTCTCTCCACCCATCATTTGTCCTTCATCATTCCTTTCTCATTAATTTTATTGTATTTCTCCTTTCTTTTTCAGTCGAAAGAAGACGAAGATTCAACATCAACGATCGAATCAAGGAGCTGGGAACACTGCTGCCGAAAACCAATGACCCGTGAGTCCCCTTCTCAATAATCAAAAAGACTAAGATAACGCTGATGATGATACCCCGAAGATAATATCCCCCTCCACCCATTCAATCTCCGTTGTTCCCCGTAAACTCGAGCTATCTATCCCCTAAAAACACTTAAACAGAGAATAAGAGGTGAGGCAAAGACCGAACGACTCTCGCCTAGGTGGCACGAGGGGCGGAAGAGGGCTTTCACAGAAATTGCATTTTTCAACGTTCGTTATTTCCATTCCTCGTCGTTGCACTCGTAGCAACGGGGCAGAGGTGCATTCCCCGGACTATCCAGCACTGGTTTCACCAGCAGTAGAAGCTATCCTCTCAATTCCATCATTTCCCCCTTTTTTCATTCATTCCGGGCTGTCGTGGAAGTAAATTTCAATGAGAAACGAGGGTTGCCGAGACCGATAGCCCGATATGATGAGCCAAATGGGGTAACGGTGGCCTCGCTGATGCACCAGTGGAGCCCACATATGCGGATTTCTTCATCGATTCACCAGCAGAGTACCACACACTCCCTGGAAGACCTCATTCCTGCGTCCCACCTCATCCCCAAAGACTATTATTTTTCCTCTACCATTCAGCCATTCAACCCACCCCTCCTGCACTGCGTCAGTATTAAGTTCCGTCGACTGATTCTGCAGGTCAAGCGCCCATGCTTCAGCCCTCAACTGCGGTTTAAGAAATGAAAAGGCTTCCCTGAGAATTCCATTCTTCATTCTTGGTTTCATTCCTCGCTCAGTCTGTAGCTCCCCCTCGTTTTGTCTCATTTTCTTCAACTCCACCTTTTCTCCAACGTTTTATTTTCTCTATTTCTCGCTGGCTCTTTTTATCTCTCTCCCCCTTTGTCATTATCTCCATTGCATACTTGTAGTGGTGCAACGGGAGATGAGCACAAAGGATCCCCTTGCGTGCTGAATCCTGCAAATCCGAATCTCTTTCTGCGGGGTTTGATGGCTGGGGGGGATGCATCAGGGAGCTGCAATAATTGTTGCTAGACTGGGTTTTAGGGGAGAGAAATTCAAGGAGTGAAATCAAATGAACGAGTTTAGAGGTATAATGGTCTTGTTTTCAATTCGTGGGGGCAGCATGGCAACATGGTGATATTTTTGGGATTTATCCGTCGAGTTTATTTAAATTTACGGAGAGAGAATAACAAATTTTTTGGCAGATTTTTGAGGGAAATCTTCTAAGAATAAGTGGCAGCCTTGAATATTTCAGAGATTTCAAATGGTGAAAACTATGAAATTGAAAAATGGTGGAATTTGATGGATGGTTTAGTGATAATTTTGGGGAGAGGGATATTGAATTCGATTTAGGGGTGAAAGAAAAATAATGAAGTTTGAAATTTCGGTGGAAATTCAATGGAATTTCAAGTTTTTGAGGAACAGAAAGGCGAGGATTTCCAATTTGCTTGAATTTTCTATCGAAACAGCAATATGTAGACGAAATTATGCTGCATTTTCATTAATTGGAAACCGAGAATAATATTCACTTGAATTTTCCTCATTTCTATTCAATATCATGGAATCATAAAGTTGAAAGAATTTAAAGTTTAAAGGGAAGATACATCAGGGAACTGCAATAATTGTTGCTAGCCTGCCAAAATTTTATTGGTGGCAGGATGGGAATGCTAGGAAGTTCCAGTATCATAAATATTATTGAAAAAATGGAATTTCATGGACAGTTTAGTTGCATTTTTAAGGAGAGGAATTTTGAATTCAATTCAGGGGGGGGGGAAATAATCGAATTTCAACTTTCGCTGAAACTTCAGTGGAATTGTAAATTTTTTCGCATTCGGAAAACGAGAATTCCCCAAATTACTTGAACTTTCAACTAATTGGAAATTCAACAATTTATTCACCTGAATTTTCCTGAATTCTATTATTTTACCTACAGCAATTAAAACCAAATTTACAGTTTTCATTGATTATTCCCATGAAATTGTCAATTGTGGGCCTCTCAAAATTTACCTGGATCTTGACAAGAAATTCCAAGAGATTCAATCAGAAATTTAAACGAACACACGAAACTATTGATTTTCCTGCAATAATTGAACTCAAAATTATTGTCCATTGACTATTCGCATGAAATTATGAATTGTGAACTTCTCCAAATTTCTCTGGATCCTGACAAAAAATTCCGCGAAGTGCAAACAAAAATAAAAACGCCCCCACGAGAGTGATTGAATCCCTCACTTTTCATTAATCGTCAAGTGAAATGTAAACGAACAGTGTTAAACCTCCGAAAGGTGCCAGTTCTTCCATCTCATCCAAAATAAAAAAAGTTCCAAATAAACACACAAACATCAGCCTCTCAAACTCAAATATTCCATTTGACAGTTAAAACTCAAAGTGCATTAATGTTGAACCAGTTGGAGTTTCCAGTAAACAAGATTACCTAGACTGGTCCTTTGACATCCGTGGGTCCAGCACACTGGGGAGGCATTCCACATCCCCCACAGACCTCCAACTGCCCCGTCCTCCCAACTACAAATGCACCCAGAAGTTAAGTGGAAGGTTGAGAGTCAACCTGTGTGGACTAACGAGCCACAGTGAGCGTTGCACGTTTATACCAGAAGACGCCCGCATGGATCGACCATTTATCAATCTGGCTTGGTTGGAGTACCATTAGTCAGTGTCGACGACCGCGAGGACTTAAAAACTCCTACTGATGTATCCTCGACACCTAGGCTCCCGCCATTACATCCCTCTGCTCCCTCTCCAGTCTCTCATCCTCACCTTCCCCTGGCCCCACCCCTCACCGAGTGCTGGAGAATGTATTCCCCCAGGATCAAGGGGTTGATATAGCTCCTGGTATATATATTATGGTACCTCGTCGTTAGTCGAACGTGACAGGACATGGGGTTTGGTCGACCTCGCCTGTTATTTATGAGAACAAAGTTGCTGAATTGTTTCTCTCTGAGAGACATTTTTGTTTATCAGATAATTACATGGAAAATAGAACAGACATCCTTAAGTCAACATATTTTTTTAATTGAGGAACGTTTTTCTTGGTGAGAAGTCGATGAGATTGGAGGGTGAAAGCTTTTTGAGGGACAAACTGAAGAAGTTTGAGTGAAGATGAAAAGAAGGAGAAGAGAGGTTTCGAAGAAGAAATTGTTGGCAAATTAAATATCATTGAATTATTTCTAGTTTTTGGATGTGATATTGGCTCTTCAATTGTTTTTCAAAAGATTTGACTTATTTTTCTTGTTTAATTCGATTGAAGAAAGTAATTTCACTGAATAAAATGTTTTCAATCTGTGTTTTAAGAGCTACTGAATCAAAATTTCAGAATTGTTTTTGAATGGTTAATTTCATTCAGATACCAGACTGTTTTCTTTTGTTTATGATGATACACTTGTCAAAAACTCGATGAAATTGAAAGATACGAGTTGTTTGGGTGAAAAATCACGAAAATCGAATTCGAAATGCACAAAAAGTTGAGTCATTTTCGCTCGTTTTTTTTAAATATTGCATTTTCTACAGAAAACATACAAAACGAATTTTTTGTCTTGATGTGGCCTGATTCCTCGTTCAGCTATCTCGAAAAAAATGATAATTTGATCAAATAAAAAGATTTTCATCTACATTTCAAGCGCTCCTGCACCCAAATGTTTAAATTATAGCTGAATAAAAAAGCAATAATCTTGATATGAAAGAATTTCTCGGTCTGTATGCTCTCAAGACGCGTTTTTTTCCACATTTCTACGTAAAAATATAGAAGTCAAATTTAATTTAATTCAGATACCCGAGTATTCCCTTTAATCTCCCAGTTCATCATAATAAATGAGTGAAACATCCGGCGAGGTAAAAAAAAATTCTGGAATCTACGAGAAATATCAGAAGTAATTTCGTCTCCCCAGTGCAGTTCCAACGACTCCCGGGAATCCCCTGTTTGTTCCGCCTTTTACGAGATAGGGAGAATATTAAAGACGCTGGGTGTGTAGAGTACAGTTGTTTAAAGCCCCGATAATAAAGTCTCGGGATATCTGAAAGACCCATTTAAACGTAACACTGATACCACTACCACTGCTGTATCAGCCAGAATGAAGATTCCATTCTCCTTTTTTTCTTATTCCTTTATTTAACGTGCATATCTGCATCTGACGTGTCTCGAGAATGTATTATTTTTCCTCGTTGTGTCAGTATATTTTACCTTCATTTTATCAGGACTCAGTTTTTTTCATTCTCTTGTTGACACGTGTGAGAGATATGAAAGGTTGCAGTGATGATAAAATTCCGAAGTTCTTGTTCTATTCTTTTGAACAATTATTATTTACGTAGTTGCCTTGTGATGTTCTATTCTTCTTTATAGTTTTTTTATAGACTGATAGAAAGAAGTGAAAATTGCGTTCGTCGCACCGTAGTCAATATCGGTTAAGTTAGGTTTTTATTTCGTAAAATGTTTAGGCTAACGAGGGCTTTACATTCCCACCGCTTAAATCTAATTCCCTATATTATAATTTAGATGTCATCTAGATATCAGTTAATTACGTCAATTTAGATCATCTAATTTTCTAGAAACTCCTTGATTTTTTTTCGTAATTTCAAGAAACTTCTCGAATTACCTCGAAATGTCTAGAATTTTCTAGAATTCTGATAGATGGCGCTGCACATAAGGACCGTTTCCCAAAATGACCCCCCATATTGAAACCACAGACGTATCCATGTGAAAAATGTAAATTTCGGATTTGACTTATACAATACTTCTAATCGGAATAAAAAATTGTGAATTTCTTAATTTAAAAATTCACTCTATCGTAGCATCGATCGACGTGAATAGGATAGGATTTTCCCCTTTCACATTGAAATGAATTCCTATCAACTAAAATAATCACTCAAATAATATTCCCCTCTGATTAAAATGTGATAGCACATCTACATTCACCTCACCTGGCTCGACAAAGTTCTTTAATTAAGACATAATATTTATAATATTCTCTCTCTCCACCTTCACTTTTTAATCAAGACATTTTGTCTTTTCTTCACAGATATTACGAAATAGTGAGAGACGTAAGACCAAACAAGGGTACGATATTAAAATCCTCCGTGGAGTACATAAAATTACTGAAAAATGAGCTCACACGGATGAAACAGAGTGAAACAAGGCACAAACAGCTGGAGCATCAGAATCGTCGGTTATTATTACGTGTACAAGAGCTTGAGCTTCAAGCGAAGGCTCATGGTCTTCCAGTTACGGATGCAAGCTGGGCGTCAACGTCAGCCGTAGCTGTCAACTCATTCTCAAGGACTAAGCACGACCGAAGAAAGGTAAGAATTTGCTTCTTTATTCGTTACTCACTCCTCTGGTCTTCTCATTTTTACTTTCATTCTCCTCATCCTGGCTATGTACCCAGACATTCGTTGGCGTTTGGAATGATAATTCCGAGTTATTTGAGGACGGAGTGGAGAAAAAAGTTGTACGTGAGAATGAAAGAAAGGGATTATTTACCTTCTTTCATCGACGAAAGTTAATTTCAACTTTTGCGGAGAAAAAAAAGATTCCAGAAGAAACAGAAAGTTTTTGTTTTCGCGATTATTATTATCGTGGTTAAGGATGGAAATTATTCCGCAAAGAAGTTTCACAGAATGCAATAACGAGTGCCTTCTCATTAACATTTTTTTTACTCCCTCCATAACACGATATTTCTTTTTCATAAGGTAAAAGTTGCTTCCGAGTTTGAGCAAATGAGGAGGAGATTCTCACCTTTATCCTTCTCCCTTATTACCACGTCATCCCTTATCACCAGCTTCTTAAAGTGACTGTGGAATAACAGTGAAGATGTACACGCAAACATACACCAGTTCATTTTAAACCCGGCAAGCAGGAATTACCAGCTTCAGTTATATTCATCTCTGGAGTTTTGAAATACCGAGAATTCAAGAGTTTACGGGGGAATTGTCGTTGGTCTTGCGATGGAGTCATTGGACATCCAATTATCTTTTGCAGTTTGTTACAGACCACACGATAGAATGAAACATTTTCAATCATTAAATTTGACAATTAAATTTTTGTACAGATTCATCATTTTTTTAAACATCCGTTGTTTGCAAATGAAAAATAATTTTTTTTTCAACTTTCGACAACATTTTTTAGGCATGAAATCGATTTCTGGTAAAATTCTGAATGTGAATAAATTTGTTATGATTCTCAATCTATGAAAAATTGAATTGCATGTGATGTTCAATTTTCCCGATGAGTTTGCAAATTCAAGCTTACATTAAAAAATCAATGATTATTTAACATGAAAAATCCAATTTTCTTGAATTTTTCAAGATACACAAGAAATTTAGTCTTTCATTTGAAGGCTTCCATTTGAAATTGAATTCCACCTCTCAACATCGAAAATTCAGATGACGCTGTGACTGAAATTCCAATAAATTTCTAACCGTGAAGTAACGAATATTCAAATCCCCACAAAGATGATCACTAAATAAACTAATAACCTGAAATTGCCATCAGATGCCCGAAGATGCCAGCGAAAATACATCACTTACTTCTCAATTTTTTTGAATTCTCAATCCACGGAAAATTGGATTGTATGGATTCAATTTTCCCGATGAGTTTGGAAATTCAAGCTTTTATTGAATAATCAATGATTATTTAATATGAAAAACCCAATTTTCTTGAATTTTCAAGATGAACAAGAAATTTCGTAAAGGCTTTCGTTTGAAATTGAATTCAACCTCCCAACATCGAAAATTCAGATGACGCTGCGACTGAAATTCCTCTAAATTTCTAACCGTGAAGTAACGATTATTCAAAACTCCACAAAGATCATCTCTGAATAAACTAATAACCTGAAATTACCATCAGATACCCGAAGATGCCAGCGAAAATACATCACTCACTTCCCAATTTTTCCGAATTCTCAATCCATGGAAAATGGAAGTAAATGTGGTGTTCAACTTTCCTGATCAGTTTGGAAGTTCAAGCTTTCATTAACAAATCAATGATTATTTAACATGAAAAACCCAATTTTCTTGAATTTTCAACATGCACAAAAAATTTAGTAAAGGCTTTCATTTGAAGTTGAATTCAACCTCACAACATCGAAAATTCAGATGACGCTGCGACTGAAATTCCACTAACTTTCTAACGTGAAATAACGACTATTCAAAACTCCACAAAGATCATCTCTTAATAAACTAATAACCTGAAATTACCATCAGATACCCGAAGATGCCAGCGAAAATACATCACTCACTTCCCAATTTTTCCGAATTCTCAATCCATGGAAAATGGAAGTAAATGTGGTGTTCAACTTTCCTGATCAGTTTGGAAGTTCAAGCTTTCATTAACAAATCAATGATTATTTAACATGAAAAACCCAATTTTCTTGAATTTTCAACATGCACAAAAAATTTAGTAAAGGCTTTCATTTGAAGTTGAATTCAACCTCACAACATCGAAAATTCAGATGACGCTGCGACTGAAATTCCACTAACTTTCTAACGTGAAATAACGACTATTCAAAACTCCACAAAGATCATCTCTTAATAAACTAATAACCTGAAATTACCATCAGATACCCGAAGATGCCAGCGAAAATACATCACTCACTTCCCAATTTTTCCGAATTCTCAATCCATGGAAAATGGAAGTAAATGTGGTGTTCAACTTTCCTGATGAGTTTGGAAGCTAAAGCTTTCATTAAAAAATCAATGATTATTTAACATGAAAAACCCAATTTTCTTGAATTTTCAACATGCACAAAAAATTTAGTAAAGGCTTTCATTTGAAATTGAATTCAACCTCACAACATCAAAAATTCAGATGACGCTGCGACTGAAATTCCACTAACTTTCTAACGTGAAATAACGACTATTGAAAACTCCATAAAGATCATCCCCGAATAAACTAATAACTTGAAATTGCCATCAGATGCCCGAAATGGTGAGCGAAGACACGTCCCTCCTGAGTATGGCACAATTCGAGGATCTGATGGAAGATGACACGGGTGGTCCAGTCCACGGTGGGGATCCAATGCTGTCATCACCGCACCTGCCACCCCTGAGTCCACCAGCCCCAGCCTGTCACCACCCCCTCCCCGACGAGGACACACTCGGTAGTTTAGCCCCAACAACGTCAAATTCATCGTCAGACATGGACATTGTTGCATAGCCACGAGCCCCAATTCTTGCATACATACGTGGACACATATCACGACCACCAGAGTCAACCAGTGACATTGGAATGGATCTCTTTGGCTATCTAGGAATAGTCGATGTACCGTGAGGAGAAAAACCATTAAGATCATAGTCATGTACTACGAGTGTGTGTACCCACTTGACTATACTTTGAAATTCTTCCCTTCCAGAGTAGCATCAGTGATTTAATCGTAGTTTGAATCGATGCATCTGCTAAATCAGGGTGAGGTGGACTCCGACGGGAGGGGGAGGAGAGGAGAAGGAGGAGAAGGAAGGGAGGAATATCCAGTGAATTGGAAATAGTGCATTCGGGTGGAGGCGAAATGCCGACCAAGAGGGATAAGAGGGTTTCAAGAGTGAACTTTCGAAGGGAATTGGTGATTTGGTCTCACTTATATTGCTTCCTCAGGACTTGGAAATTGAATTTTCTTGAATTTCTAAAATATATCGCCAAACACTTGACCCTGTTTCCCAGACGTGGGCCAACGTGTGTAAATCAATGCAGGAATTACAGCGGAGGCGAATCATCGGGCGCGCTGGACGTGCATCATTTATGATTTAGTTGAATTTTTATGAGTTTATCATGAACTGACTGCGACTCATCACTTGAATGTCGTGTTATTTTGATGATGCGATTTATGTTTGTATTTGTGAATTCTTACGATAATGGGAGGTGTGGTAACCGGTGATAGCCGAGGTATACAGTAGATGATGAATTTCGCTGTATTTCGAGAGCAGTAAATGTGGAGGCGAAGATAAAAGAAAGTTACGTCATGTCAGGGTTCTTTTATTTGTTCATTTTCACTTGAATTGAAATGAAATTGCGATGTTTGCGTTTTAGAAATTTTCAGATGATGCTCTCGAGCGCTTCAAGATCTTTGAGAAATTTTGGTGCTCGAGGGACCATTCGGCAGGATTAAAATAATCCTTCTCACCCACCGTAAAACGTCAAATCCTGCATGTGAATTTGACTTTTTGCATGTGTCACATGCGAGAGTAACATGAGGGGAGTTACACATAATTGTGACACTCTTCACCAAAATGTGGGGAAAATCTGTCAAAAGAAGGGAAAGTAACTGATATCCTACTTCGGATTTATCAAACAGTACTGATGTGAAGCCGTCACGTGATGCCAAATACTGTACTCCGATTGGTCGACATCAGATTGGAGGAAATAATCGAAATAATTGAACCCCCATACCGCAAATCGTCAAATCCTGCATTCTTACCGGTTGAAATTCAGACGGAGAAAATAATCTTGTGAATTTAAGCAAGACGATTCGAAAAAAATAGTATTCACTATTTGTATCTTAAGGCGTTTTCTTTGGCCGACTCATTTATGAATAGGAGGTGTTGGCTTGTGCGGTCATTATCAGACTGGAGATTAAAGAATGAGGAGAAAAGACATCTCATCTAGACTAAAAGAAGCGCAACGTCTCCATTTGTTTACAATTTTCATTTTCACGCATTAGTGTAAACATTTTTCTAAAAAGTACGTTGGGCTTCTTTTCGTCTAAATGAGATGTCTCTTCTCATTACTTTTTAACCTTCGAGTCTACTAATCGTCGCACAGACCAGCACCTTTTTATTCACCATTTGGTTAAGCGAAAAGTTGAACTTTTCTTTTTGATCACTGAAACGATTTCTCCTATGAGCCAAAACCATATGTGGTACACAGCCTCGTGTATTAAATTAATAATTCATGTGTTGTATTCCTCCGATACTATTGACTCGGGGAATTGAGGCCGATTACGCGTTTCAATGCGCGTCATGTATGCGAATTCGTACGCGTGAGTCGACGCATTCTCTTCGTGTTTCAATTTCGTGAATTAGGAGAATAAAATTGTCAGGGATAGTTTAACCACAGACACCAGGATATTTCCGAAAATGTGAGAGAGTGCTAAACAAAACACCAAGTGCAATGCAATTCACTGGATGAAAAACCCAGAACAAACCGTCAATTTTCCGTTAAAATGTATTTAGCTGAATAGACTAGATTTTTCGAAGTATTTTAGATAAATTTTTATGCCTCTCGCCTACAAAACTCATGTTAGTTAGTGTAAATATTATGATATTAAGTGTAAAAATGAATCCCCTGTGGAGTATCCGCAGCTCTTTGCATTGTAAACTTTTGAAATTTGTATATGTGAGGTATGAGACATTCGTTCACACAATGTCGTCAATCTTTTATCCCCTCTGGGGGAGAAACTAAGGAAAAATAATACCCATTCACCTACGTGACCCGAGTACGTAAAACAGCGAATGGTGTGAGAGAAACGTTAAAGTTGTTGTTTTATTTTTCATTAGTTTGAAGTATAACTATTCGTTTCTGTGAGGCGAAATGGGAGACGAATTATTGTATTGTTAATGCCTAATGTTGATTATATGAAATATTTTATTATGAGGAACAGTTGGAATTCAGTGAGATTTTCATCATTTGTGAGGGGTTGGAGTATCGTCTGACGCTTTCAGCCTCCGAACAAAAAACAAATTGTTACCGAATTGTATCGCCGTCAAGTTGCGATGAGATTAAACGCCTGAGGAATCTATCAGGTGAAAAGAAATAACGTTACCAAAAAAAAATCTGAAACAAAGTAAAAACATTGTGAGTTTTTCTTTTTTTATTCCTCCAAATCTTCGTGTATCCTCTGACGTTCAATTTTTCCCTTTCACTATCAAATGGGTTTCGAGTGGAAATTATCTCCAGCCCTCCAGCTATAATCTCGTCTTTCAACGATGTATAACAAGACGATCAGGAAACGGAAATGCAATTTATCGTATCGTCGAAGCGAAATGGCTTCACTGCTGCGAATTTTTTCGGGCATTGGTTTTGCCCAGTCGCATTTCTGTACATGATTTAACTCGAGTTGAATGGGATTTTTAGTGGCGGATTCACGTGGATGTAACAGAAATATTCAGTGAGCGATTATAGACTTCAGAAGGGTCGGTCGATTGTACAGAATTATCGAACATTGGAGCATGGAAATTTGGAAATTTGATATGTGTTGGGTAAATTCTAGGCAATTGGTAATTTTGGAATCGCAGTTCTAAACATTACTTCGAGGGTTAGAATCATTAGCGATGGATTTTCGGAATAATAGTCTTGCATTTGCGCATTGAATTGATAACGTGAATGTACTAACCAGATTATTCATTTCATTCATGTAAATGGGGGAAATGAAGAATGTTTCATAATTGGATAGAGTCCTCTGCTTCTCGTCTCCGGGAAAGGGACTAAGAAAATTTAGTAGTTTATTTTCTTATTCTGCTGAGAAAATTCTCTTCTTTCCATTTTTCAGTGCTGGATTGAAATGGACGGAATTGACTGTTTTTATTGCACAAAATTATTGAACATTATAGCATATTCAAATTCGATATGTGATGAGTAAATTCTAGAGAATCGGTGATATCCCCACACGCAAAAATTTATATTTTGATAAATATATGAAAAAATATCTTAAATTGGCCCAATTTATATAAAAAAATATATAAAACATATTTTATATATCTTTTTATATAGTTTTATAAAATATATGTTTTATATATTTTTTTGTATACTCTTCATAAATTTGAAAAATATATGGAATTGGCCCATATATATTTTTTTATGGGGGTTTTAAGGACAAAGGGTTCTAATCATTACTTCCCGGCTTAAAATCATTAGCAATGTTTTTTCGGAATAATACTCCTGCACTTGCGCACTGAATTCATACCGAGAATATTAACCAGATTATTCATTTCATTCCTCTCAATGGGGAAATGAAGAATGTCTCATAATTAGATAAACTCCTCTGCTTCTCATCTCCTCCCACGGAACTAAAAAATTTAACAGTTTCTCCACTTGTTCTATTAAGAAAATTCTCTGCTCTCCATTTTTCGGGGTTCAGCTTTGCTCAGTTTCATTTCTGCACATGATTTCAGTACCAGGTTCACATAGGCAACCAAAATATTCAGTGGCCGATTATGGACTTCAAAAGGGCTATTCACTTCCACAGAGTTATTGGAAATGTAATGGGTAAACCCCAGCGAATCGATAATATAGGAATAGCGGAGTCATAGTCATCATTTCGAGGTTTAGAATCACTAGCGCTGGATTTTCGGAGTAATATTCTTGTGCTGGCAAATTTGATTCATAACGTGAATACCAACCAGATTACTAATTTCATCAATGTAACTGAGAAAACCGAAGAATGAAAAGAACTATTACACGAAATTTTGACATTTAATTCGGTGGGCGATTATGACCGGCAAAGGGGCTATTCAATTCCACAGAATTATTGAAAATGTGATGGGTAAATACCATTGAATCGATAGTATTGGAATAGCCGAGAGGCTTATAATCATTAGCAACGGATTTTCGGAATAATACTCCTGTGCTGGCAAATTGGATTCATAACGTGAATACCAACCAGATTACTAATTTCATCGATGTAAACGGGGAAAACGAGGAATGTCTCGTAATCGGCTGAAGCTCTCTCCTCGAGTCCCCAGCGAGGGGACTAAAAAATGTAGTAGTTTTTTTCCTTCATTCTACTAAGAAAATTCTCACCACATGACCTCTATTCCCTGCCTCCCTGGCACGTAGCAACCAACAACCCGACACCATCGTATAATGGATCGCTTCAATTTACACGTCGACCCCTCACTGACACCCGCGGCGTGTCTCGACATGTTCCCCCTTTTCACGTTGCCTAGCGCTCTAAGAGAGATCGAAAGGGAGAGAGAAAAAAAAGCACGAGAAAATGAAGGGAACCGAAAAATATGAGCTGGAAAAATTGCTTCTCGCTAATGTGAAAAGGGGCAACAAGTTTAGTAGGTCAGCCATGACGCGAAATGTAACACGAAACAAATTACTTCATTTTAGAAATTGTGTCTCGTGTTCGTGAAGAATTTCCCGACATTTGTCAAGGGAATTTCTTCATTTTTCATACAGAATGGGGGAAACTGCAGGTGTTGAATTTATTGATAAATTAATTTTTTATCTAGCCGATGAAATTATTTTGTTCATTTGATTGATTGTAAATGAAGATTAATGCCTGACGTGTTTAACATTCTTTTGAGAATTTCATTCAACTAATAATTTATTTATTTTGTTTTGTTTGTGCAATTCAATTTTAACTAATTGGGGACAAAATCTTGAATTTTGGAATAATACACCTCATAATTTTACCGAGCATAATAATTGTTTCGTCGTAGAATAAAATATTAAATTAATTATCTTGAAAGTATTTACGAAATGTTCCAAATTGTTAATTTCCAAACAATATCATGGATGTGTCGTTCTAAAGTTACCAAATAGCAATACAAAATTTTACATTTTAGTGTTTACCGCGTCCAACTCAAGAGAAAAACTGTAGCGTATCCTTCTGTTTATGGAAACAATAGCTAAAAACAGAAAACTTGAAAATGCTCCTGCAATGAGACCCTTATACCCGGGTCCTACTACCTGAAAGCTGTCGTAGCCATACGCAAAGGGAAAAGGACAGTTCACGTTGAGCCGTCAGTGTGGACGCATCAAAACATTCAATCTGTCCAAAATTTAAATTACTTGCTCGGTCTCGGTAAATACTCTAGTGAATCAACCTCAATTAAACTCAAATTTATATCGAACATTTATTCCGCGTCATTGTATTTCAAACTATTATTGTTACTTAATCAATTTATCGTGCTAGTTAACGCCTCAAATTATATTTAAAACAACTAAAGAATAATAACAAAATCAAACCAAATTAAAATAATAAATCCAATTGAAAATTATATAAATCGTGAATTGAACCAACCTATTAATCTCAAAACCGAAAATGAATCTTTCAGTTCCTTCCAAATTAATAATAAATAAACAATCATCTCATATTAGTCCTAAATTTTCCTGAGTGAGCTTAATTGTTCGATACAATAATGTAATTTATTCTGTAAGAGTATCATGATTTCATCCCCAAGAAATCAATTGAGCTTTGACATTGGCTTTTACACCCGAATAATTTTGATTCTGAATTTTAATGATTTTGATCCAGTTTTAATCACCAGAGTTGGCTTTTATTTCGCAATAGAATATGCCTTCACAATGCAATTGTCAATTGAATTGAACCAAGTTATTAATCTCAAAACCAAAAATGAATCTTTCAATTCCTTCCAAATTAATAATAAATAAACAATCATCTCATATTAGTCCTAAATTTTCCTGAGTGAGTTTAATTGTTCGATACAATAATGTAATTTATTCTGGAAGAGTATCATGATTTCATCCCCAAGGAATCAATTGAGCTTTGACATTGGCTTTTATACCAGAATAATTTTGATTCTGAATTTTAATGATTTCGATCCAGTTTTAATCACCAGAGTTGGCTTTTATTTCGCAATAGAATATGCCTCCACAATGCAATTGTCAATTGAATTGAACCAAGTTATTAATCTCAAAACCAAAAATGAATCTTTCAATTCCTTCCAAATTAATAATAAATAAACAATCATCTCATATTAGTCCTAAATTTTCCTGAGTGAGTTTAATTGTTCGATACAATAATGTAATTTATTCTGGAAGAGTATCATGATTTCATCCCCAAGGAATCAATTGAGCTTTGACATTGGCTTTTATACCAGAATAATTTTGATTCTGAATTTTAATGATTTCGATCCAGTTTTAATCACCAGAGTTGGCTTTTATTTCGCAATAGAATATGCCTCCACAATGCAATTGTCAATTGAATTGAACCAAGTTATTAATCTCAAAACCAAAAATGAATCTTTCAATTCCTTCCAAATTAATAATAAATAAACAATCATCTCATATTAGTCCTAAATTTTCCTGAGTGAGTTTAATTGTTCGATACAATAATGTAATTTATTCTGGAAGAGTATCATGATTTCATCCCCAAGGAATCAATTGAGCTTTGACATTGGCTTTTATACCAGAATAATTTTGATTCTGAATTTTAATGATTTCGATCCAGTTTTAATCACCAGAGTTGGCTTTTATTTCGCAATAGAATATGCCTTCACAATGCAATTGTCAATTGAATTGAACCAAGTTATTAATCTCAAAACCAAAAATGAATCTTTCAATTCCTTCCAAATTAATAATAAATAAACAATCATCTCATATTAGTCCTAAATTTTCCTGAGTGAGCTTAATTGTTCGATACAATAATGTAATTTATTCTGTAAGAGTATCATGATTTCATCCCCAAGAAATCAATTGAGCTTTGACATTGGCTTTTACACCCGAATAATTTTGATTCTGAATTTCAATGATTTCGATCCATCGGTTCTAATCACCGGAGTTGGCTTTTATTTCGCAATAAAATATACCTTCACAATGCAATTGTCAATTGAATTGAACCAAGTTATTAATCTCAAAACCAAAAATGAATCTTTCAATNAGCTGTCGTAGCCATACGCAAAGGGAAAAGGACAGTTCACGTTGAGCCGTCAGTGTGGACGCATCAAAACATTCAATCTGTCCAAAATTTAAATTACTTGCTCGGTCTCGGTAAATACTCTAGTGAATCAACCTCAATTAAACTCAAATTTATATCGAACATTTATTCCGCGTCATTGTATTTCAAACTATTATTGTTACTTAATCAATTT